TATTTATTTTCACATAATATTAGAAACAATTATGAGTGTTCTTTCATTATTTCCATGACTGCCTTAAATAAAAACATATTTGCAATTTGAATTACATATATATTCTTCGTTTTTCTCACGGATATTAATCGATCGTAGGGATTGAAACGCGACAGAAGAAAAATTGACGGAATATCGTCACCTATTCGAGAATAAACTATCCGAACGATTTTTCCCTTTGTTCGTCAGAATGGCGGATGAACGAAGAGTCATTTTTCTTACCATTGTCCCGTCTCCTACTCTCTATATCCGGGGAAAGAAAAGTTGTTTCCTTCCCCGAATAATCCCGAATAAAGTTGCCTCTCGATTGTTCCCCCAAGATTCCTCTCTTCTTCCGAGATTTCGCGGAACAACAAGCGATAATAAAGATAATAGACAGCCTCCAGTTTCCTCCCAAGATTGATACTCGCGTAGTTCGAGTAAGAGAGCTCGCGATAAATCTCGAAACATTGTAAAGATTGCGAAGAAAAAAAGAAGAAGCGCGGACTCTTCTTCGCGAGAAAGAGTTGTTGTATCGATCGTTGGCAACTTGTAATTGGTTCGATATGAAAAGAGAATAAATATGTCGAAAAGGAGGATCTTTGAATGTATCGTTTCGATTATTGAATTTTTAATTGAAGGATACTAGAAATTTTTATTGAATTTTTTCATTACGAATATTTTATCATGTTTCTCGATCGGATTCGATGTTTAACATCGTCTCTTTTCCTCTTCTTCTTCTTGATACGAGCGTTGTCGCTCGCACACACTTTCTCGTCAAATTTTGTATCTTCGAGTTAGTTTGGCCGCAATATTTGCCAAGAATGTTCCAATATTGGTGTATTGGCCATGCAATATGCACGGTGCACAGAGTGCATCGAACTTACTACTTTGATAATATTTGTACCGATATCGGAAGCATAAACTATCCTTATAGCTTTGGCCAATGAAATACGAAATAGCAAATCTTTATACATTATACGTTCTTCTATAGGAACGAATTTCATTTTGCATATTAAAATACCATCCAATCACTGATGATTAATTCTAGAGTGAATAGCATTTAAATTCACCTCTTTGATTACGTTTTTTTAAATTACGAAAAATTAATAAAATCAAGCCAATTAATTTTTCACATTCATCTACGAAAAAGAAGGAAGAAGAGAAAGAAGAAATGGAAAATATTAATTTAAATTTTATTATTTTTTTTTTAAATAATTTAGAAAATTGCAACCATTGTGATTATAATCATTGAACAAATTTTTGAAAGGTTTCTTGACTGGATAAATGAAAGTTGGAACGGAAGCACTCTAAATAAACACGTATTTTGCACGTATATGGCAAGAACAGTGGAAGCGTTCGTGGTAAAGAATTATGGGATTTAACGCGGAGCACACGGGTTTAAACGAGTGGTATAAATTGTTGCGGCAGGCAGTGGAAGAGCCCGTCGATGGTCAGACCACGCGTAGAAGTGGCACCGGTGTTAGAAAAGTCAGACAGCGTGGAAACGGTTGATGGAGGGGATAACAGACGCGCTGGCTCGTTCATTTTGAACAGAAACCACTTTCTCTGGACAACGGGACAAATGAATTATGAGCAAATAGATTTTACACCTTGGCCTATTATTAACTTTGATAATTAACTTTTGCGCATTTACGCAACTATGCGTAAAATTTCGTTTTTTAATAAAAAAGAAAATTTTAAAAAGAAAAAAAGAAGAAAGGATATTTTAAGTAATGTCTTTATTTCGCGCGATGCGAAAGCACTTTGTGTCTCGTTTCGTACGAATTGTTTCAAGTCCATCTGTTCCATTTGCGTACGCGCGATTGCCATGCCATGACGAGAACTCGTTTCAACGTTTCCCACTTTTGTCAAGTGTAGCGCGACTGTTCGAGCCTGTTTCCATTCGTATTTCGAAATTCCACTTTCCAGATATTTCGTTCGAACGCAACACTTCGATTGTTGCTTCGTTGAAATTTCTCCGCGAACAACATCGTACATCGTATTTACGTATTCGAAAGGAGAGCAATACACGATCAATTTTCAAGATGAAAATATAAAGAGAACGAAAACTGAAACTCGTCAAAATTTTAATTTATATAAATGTCCATATTATGACAACTATAGTCATCTCATTAAAAAAAGGAAAAGAAAAAAGTTTCAACTTCGAAATCGACAAAGGCAATCTTGTTTCCGAGGCCAACATCCTACTCCTCGCGGCCCCTATTAACAAAATGGAGAACTAGTTTCGCGAGGCATACAATAAAGCCAGGCCACGCGGTACTTTCCAACTTGTAGATTAATCGGGCTCTCGGCCAAACAACATTTATTCTATTATCGAGCGCGTATTTGTAATTCAAATTTCCCGCCGGTCGAACAGGTGATTCCATCAGCCTTGCATTACGCGTAAAATCGATGCGGCGCTCGTTTCGGCTCTCTTGTATCCTTTCGGCGTGTCAATATGTCCGCCGTGAATTTTTATGGAATGACGATAAATCGTGAGGGAAATGAAACGAATCGTGCGTTTGAATAAATTAGGATCTAGGCGAATCGATTCGAAATTCGTGGTGAGATATTTAACTTGAGAGGTATATAAGACGCAAGTGTATAACCATAAATTATCCGTTTCTTTGCTTCGTTTTTAAAGATAAAAGAGTAAAGTGAGGTTAACTTCTTGAGGAATAATTCGTTTACACGCGATGACAATAATTTTTTTTCTCAAAATCGAAATAATTGAAATATATAATAATAAAAGAATACTTGGAAGAGACGATTTTACATACAATACGAAGTATATATATAGAGACAACTAGAGAATAACAGAATCTAGCATTAATGTTGTTTTAAACTTTCGTATTATCTCTCATAGGTGCACTTAAAGTTTGATATTGGAAACTATGTATACCTGGAAGGTATTCACAAAAGTTAATAATAATTCTGAATAATATAAAGTTCGTACAGGATTAATAAAGAATGATTTAAAAATTATTAAACGAAGAATACGCGTTTCATCTTCGTTGTTATAAATTGTAAATTTTGCTGGATTTGTAACGTTATTTACCGTAACTGTGATTATTATAATTTAATATATATGCATATTATATATTTTTGCAAATTGTAATTTTAATTATCCGCATAGATGTTTACATAAATTCGACACGATTGTACATATACGTGTAATTTTGTTAATAGAATATTCATTGTTTGGTTAAACGAATGGTACGAACTGTGTGCCGCCACATGCATATCATTAAACGAAAATTAAACTGGCGGTGTAAAACTATAAACCTCTTTCCTTTATATCGTTATATCTTTAATTTCACTTGGAATATGATAAAAAACGAGTGTTTGATGAAAAATTGAAATACGTATACGGTACAATGTTAACGTTTATCGAATGTTGGAAAGGTTGGTTAATAAGAGTTTTATGGTGAAAAAAACTTTTAACAGAGATAGACGTTGATCGGGTTATGGAATTTTTTCAAACATTTGCTGTTGTAAAGTGTAGAGAATAATGACGCTTTTTCTCTGCAAAAAAATTGAACATTGAAATAGGAGAGAGTGCGAAAGAGAGAGAAGGAGGAAAAAATAAATTCGTGAAAAAAAAAAATTTAAAAAAAATAAAATTGAAAAAAATTTTTTCTCTTTAAAAATTGGGGCGTGAAATTCACCTTTCGTTTCTCGTTTAGAAAGTAAATTGTATTAAAAAACGAAAGTTTTTCTTTATTATTTACTCCTAAAAAAAAAAAAAAGAATAATTTCCATAACAACAAAAGTACAATTTTTACTTTTAATCTCTTTTATATTTATTTTCTACTCCCGTTATGTTCAATTTTTTTTCTAATAATTTCATCTAAACGAACTCGAGGAAAATTCAAATTCAAAGTGAAATTTTCAATTTTCCAGAATTTTTCAAAATTAATATCGCGTCTCTTTTCTTTTTTTCTTTTTTTCAAGTGGAATCGAGAAAAAATTATCATCGTGAAGACATACCCACACATATATGACACGTATGACAGAGGCAAAAATGGAAAGCAGAAGAAGCAGAGGAAAGGTAGACCCTATTTTGCGCATTTCGATATCTCAATCCTTCTTAAGGTTAAAAGATCTCTGATCTGATAAAAGAGCATGCGGTAACTGGACCGCAGGGAAATGGATCTGACAGCAGATTATCGCAGGCGAAAGTGAGATTTCCGAATGTCTTTATCCGAGTTAACCGGCCGCGGTATCGGCAAACTGTCGGAGAAACGTTTATCTGATTATCAGTTGAAACATTTATTTCTGCATTAAATTACGTTTGATCGAGAGAGAAACAGAAAAGAGTAAGAAATCATCAGAGTATCAATATACTTCGATATTTAGATATTTAGATTTTAGAAAAAAAAAAATAATATCAATATTTCTACTATGCATATTTTATTTATTATTTTATTTTTATTATTTTTAAAATATTTATATTTTAAAATATTTTAAATATTTATATTTATTTTATTTTATTTATTATCTTCGATCTTGTTAGTGCAACTTTTGTATTCGTATAAACATATTCGTCGTATTTTTTCAGGAAGGAAAAACACAGCTTCGACACTCCTCGTTGGAGAAAGTTTCTTCATCGATTTTTCAGACAACAGAAATCACTTACAATTTTCACTTACATAAAAATTTCATTTGTCATCGAATCGATTTCAGGCAGAACCAATTACTCTTTTTTTTTTTTAAATTAAAATTCTTATCGAAAAAATTGATTCTAGATTCTCGATTTATTCGTCTGTTTTTCAGGAAACGAGAATTAATTACGGACGAATACGGTGATTCGACCGTAAGTTGGAAAGTTGGAAGGTAAATCAAAGAAGCAATCGACTTAAGTGCGCCACTGTCCGCAACATTCGACTTTACGTTAAATCGACAAATTAGATTGATCGATTAGTTGCATTAATCGACGTGAACGTGGCTGGCGCTGATATTCGGCTAAGTTCAAGCCAGCTACTCAAGGCACCTTATTCGACGGGAGTTGGTAACGATATCGTGTTATGGCCGATCCTTTATTTCCGAGAAATTACAGGAAATTATGGTAGACAATAGCGCCACGCCAGAAGAAAAATTCAATTCGTGTATTTCTTACGATGAAACTTTTATCTCGTTGCTATTTTTAATGCTGATAATTGATGTAATAGCAATCAATCTCCTTTAAATAACTCGTTCCTTCGTATTATTTCTTCTGTATGAAGAAACGTATTAGAAGAAAGAATATTAGAAGTGTTCGTCCGATCTTTAAAATAGATAATCTTTCAAAGCTGTTCATTTGTTGATATTAAAGATAACATGTCTGTAATTTTTTTAGTCATTTAAAAGTCGTTTGAAAATAGAAGATGAATTTTAATGTTAGTTATTTTATGTTTGTAACAAGGATAATCACGTTATCATATGTGATTAAGAAAACATAAATTACCATAATTAGCGTGTCGAAATCGAAACTCGAAGTTCACTAAACTCTCGTGATAAAGAACAATTTGAACGAGGGTTTATCTTTAACCGTGTTTCGCCTTTAATCGAGCAACCATGGAAACCCCATAGTTGAGAGACGTGACTTATGATGAACGCATTAAAACGAGAACTTTCGAAGTTTAAGTTTAAGGAAATTTAAGTTCTTCGACTCGATGTTGTTATAAAAATTACAGAGAACGGCGCTCTTCTTAGAAACGTGATTCTTTTAATTCTAGGCTGAATTATTATTTGTAATATGCTTCACAATTGGATTTTTAACAGCAAGGTAAGATTCTTAATACGTATTTATTTAATATAAATACGAAAGAATTTCGATAAATTGCCTCGTAAGTTAAAAAGTGCTCCACGGGTATAAAGAGCTGTCGCAATTCTCTTCTCCATTATTGTGCTGTACCGAGAAAAGGTCAAGACGAAACTTTTTACTTAGTAGAATTGTTTCCGAATAAATTGAAAAACTTGAAATGTGTGTATCTGAAAGTGAGAAAACTTTGGTGTTTCGAAAATATTAATAGAATAAAAAACTTTTTGCATTTTCCATAAATAAGTATCTTCACGCAACTAACTTTTGTTATGTATCTTTAAATATTATAATTCTCTTACAAACATACGTATCAATAATTTAACTAGAATTGAAAATTCTCAAAACTAGATTGAATTCTATTAAAACGTATTTCTATTTATCCCGATACTATTTCCGGTTCCTGAAGTACCATCATGTAAAAAAAAGGATAATTTTTAATCATTTAACGTAATAAAGCCTTATTAAAATTAAGAAAACTTTAAATTATTATAACTCCGAAGATAATGATTTTTAATCGATGAATGAAGAATCGTTAGAAACGCGAAATCTTACTCTTTAAATCGCATTTTTATTTATCCCGATACGACTTCCGGTTCCCGAAATATCATCGTATAAAGAAACACATAATTTTTATTTATACTATCCTTACTCGACATTTTGCTCGCATCTTATCTTGCTTATTCCAAACTCGAGACAAATGGAAACTCGATCGAACTCTATTAAAATTAGGAAAATTTTGAATCGCTATAACTTCGAAGATAATGACTTTCAATCGACGAATGAGATATTGTTAGAAGCGTGGAATCTTATTCTTTAAAATATATTTTTATTTATTCCGATACGACTTGCGGTTCTTGAAATATCGTCATGTGAAGAAAAGGATAATTTTCGATCGTTTACTGTCTTCTTTTTCGTCGCTTGCTCGGATCTCGTTCTCACCGACCTATCCCAAACTCGAAACAAGCGAAAGGCGCGATTCTTGGAAAATATCTGAGTCAGAAAATCCATTCGTAACTTCTGCACCGTGTTAAACGTTATAGAAACTTTGTATCTTTATATCTCGGCAACGGATAGAGATATCGGAATAAAACAAAAAATGGCTTCAACGGCACGATTTTCTCTATTTCTTGATCAAGTTTTTTTTTTTTTTTTTACATGTGATATGATAATACTTGAATACGTTTTAACTAGAGAATTAAAAGAATTTTTAAAAATAAACAAATAATCTTCCAATTCGAAGTTATAACGAAGTTGATTGACACGAGAAGATACATACGCATTTCGTTCCACTGCTTATCCGATAACTAACCGAAATTAAGCAACGAAGACAAATATCGGTAAATTAAAAAGCAACGGCAGTGACGTTGACGAAGAAACGAGGTCACTTTAGACAAGATTAATCTTCATAATTTTTATCAGAATCTTCCATCTCATCATCCTCGGTGATGAACGATCCGCGCGGCTCGAATTTTCTCGATATCTCGCGCAATAATCTCGACTCGTTGTCGCGAAGCAAACAAACTACGAGATGGAAATAATAATAAGATTCAACGCGTGTCTCGCGCGTTTTTAGTATCGCGCGTAATATTATAATTTTTAATCAACTCGAATCCTTTTCTTTTTTTTTTTTTATAATAAAATTATCGTGTCTGGTATTTTAAATCGATATAAAAGCATTAAAAGTCACTCGATTTCGACCTCGCGCACAATGCGGGCTTAGAGATTGTTAAAATTTCATAAGCGCGCGAGATTACGAGATTCGTGCCTATCTTTGATCGGAAGCAAGGTTTTTGACATTCTTCTTCTCCTCTATCCAAATGATATTCGATTGCGCGTTGATGCGAAATGCAGGTGGATCAATTTGGCCAAGGAGAAAGATCTCCTCCAATGTTCCAATTACAGGAACATTGTTGCGCCTCTGACTAAAATTGGAATATTCCTCGATGATTATTATTTGGAAAAGGAACATCATGAATATGTGTGTGGGCGAAACGCATTTCGTGGAGATTTTTCACGAACAAAAATTATCAATTGTTAGTGATAATTAATATATTGTAAAAAAAAATGATTCTTAGAATCAGGGAGAGATGGATGATATTTTCTTTTTTGAACCACTTGTGGAGGAATTTTGACGAAAATAAAAAAATCTTGATCATAGAAGTTATTGGGAAATTATTTGTAAATTACATTTTTTTTTTTACAAAGCATAAAAAAACGTGGAATAAAAAAAAAAGAAAAAGGGAAAAAGGAAAAAAAGAGAAATAAAATAGAGAACTTCCATTACGCAAGTGTTTTGAACGTGAAAAGTGCAAAAATATTAGGGATTTTGAACGAAGGTGAAAGGAGATAAAATACGATCCGCCATTTTTAAAGATATCAATTGTAAAACAAGAGTTGTAGCGTGTTGTTATCGAAATTCGAAAAGAAAAAAAAAAAA